TCTTGCGCAGGCAGGAATTTCATGTGGTGGCGTAAGTGCACTACATGTAGTACTGATCTGATCGTATTTTCCTAACATAATTATCATCTCTCAACATCATGCTAGCTTTCGCTGTCCTCAGTGCTTCTTTGTGGAGGAAATATTACTAAAATTGCTGCATGGTTTCCATCTACCCTAGCAATAAATGCACTTCAATCTCAAGAGTACGTTCAATACGTTGCACGGGATTTTACCTTTACTTATGTCCGTGTCGTTCAGGATTTTACCAGATCTGCAATTCCGTCGCTCCAGTTTTAGTTTGCAAGTCACGAACGATGAATTTACTCAAGATGTGCGAAGCGTAGCATACGTGATGGTAGAATTGCTCACTGGGCTTCGGGTTCATGGGAGTCTGATGGAAAAGAGCAATCTACTGAGCAAAGTTGCTACAGACTCCTTAGAGCACCAGTTTTTAAGCGCCGTGCTAGCACTCAAGCCACTCAAGGAACTATTGGCGCATCCTTACTTCTCGACAGTTAATCCAACATACAACCAAGTATCAGAAACAACGCCTGAGCAGCGGCATATTGTCGGAATTCTAACAAACCAGGAGCTGAACAAGTGTCAGATCATGACGCGACAATATTTACAGCAAATCCGGGAATGGAAAGCTCACTTTGAAAAGAAGTATCGAAGAAAGCCACAGCCTGTCGACCACCCGGCTGGCATTGTGCGTCTACAAGGACGATGCCAGGCGCTGAAAGAGCGAATGGAAGAACTGAACAATCGCTTGACTTCTTCTCATGGCAGCGTCTACCAACTGATCGAGGAAAATGATGCTCTAACAATTGATACACTCGACATTGCCGGATCACCAGTAGCGTCTGAAGGTAGTAGATCGGATTCATTAGACCGAAGCGGAGGAAACAGATCGCCAGCACAGAAGGCTTTCCTGAACCGATTTGGCCCTCCTCAATAGATTTTTTTTTGCATAGAGCAGTGCAATGTTACAAGTAAAAAAAAACGTTAAATTCATCGAATTACTAAGAAAGTCGATGCAATCCTAATACGCCTACTTAGCGAAGACGTCGTCCAAAGCCTTTTCGAAGATCTCGAGAGCAAGTGCACATTCGTCCTCCGAGACGGTAAGAGCAGGCATGAAACGCAGCGTCTCAAAGATGCTCGTGGTCAACAGCATCATGCCGTGGTCCAGACACGCTGCCGAGATCTTGTTAGCTGTGCCCTGCGGAGCCTTAGCGAGGTCGAACTCAACGCCGATCATCAGACCCAAGCCACGTACGTCCAGGATCGGATACTTGCCCGACGCCTTCAGCTTGTTAAGTCCAGCCTGTAGCTGCGCGCCACGAGTGCGTGTGTTCTCCAGCAGATTCTCTTCGGCAATGACTTCTTGAGTGGCAATGGCAGCAGCACAAGCGACGGCGTTGCCAGCGTAAGTGCCGCCCATCGACCCGGGAGGTTGTGTGTCCGTCAGCTCCTTACGACTGGCAATACCACTGATCGGGTACCCATCTGCAATACCCTTGGCGAACGCCAGGATGTCCGGCTGCACGTCGAAGTGGCTATCGATCGCAAAGTATTCTCCCGTGCGGCCGAAGCCAGACTGAACCTCGTCCGCAATCAGCAGGATATCGTTGTCTGAAGCGATCTCACGCAGACCCTTCATGAAGCTTTTGGGCGGCACAACGTAGCCACCCTCACCCAATACCGACTCGATAATTATTGCAGCTGTGTCACGAGGAGCCGACTGCTGCTTGAGTGCAAGGTGAAGCTGGTCCAAGCACCACTCAGCGTTCTTCTCTTCGTCGTGGATTGGGCCGTGCAGTGCGTACGGGTACGGCACGAACGATACACCAGGCATCAACGGGCCAAAGCCAGCGCTGTAGATCGTCTTGCTTGACGTTAGGCTCATTGTGCCCACCGTGCGTCCGTGGTAGCCGCCTTGGAACGCAATTACCTTGCTCTTTCCAGTGGCGTGACGTGCCAGTTTAACGGCGTTCTCGACAGCCTCCGAGCCACTGCAAGCGAAGAAGAGCGAGTCCAGACTCTTAGGCAGCACCGGCAGCAGTTTGTTCGTCAAGTCCAGCATAGGCTGGTGATAACCGATGTTCACTTGAGCGTGCACTAATGTGGCAGCCTGCTTCTGCACGGCCGCCACCACCTTCGGGTGCGAGTGACCCACGCTGGTCACGGCGATGCCACTTGTGAAGTCCAACAGCTTGCGGTTGTCGGACGTCCAGATCCACGAGCCCTTGCCCTTGGTCATGATCATGTCGGACATGCGGCCGATGCCCTTGGCGAGGTGTTGCTTGACCATAACTGACGTGGAAAGAGGCTTAAGCGCTTCAGGGCGGCGATGGAGGAACTGCGGGATGTAGAGCAAGTTGAGCTGTGATATACCTTGGTAGGATCCACGACGTTGAACTGGTAAAAAGAGTAATTACGAAAGCTTTTTACTTGTCGGATGAGAGCGTACGCCGCTGACGTTCCCCTCATTTTAGCGCTGTTGTGTTATTATCATAAGGTTAACTTATACATAATGTTAACACTAAAACCTGGCTATTATGTCCTAATGAAGTTACGACGCCGTTTGTCAAAAAAGATGCTCCCGCGCTGTCATCAGGGTGCGTCATCGAATCGCGACCCACCGGACCAATCACAGCGCAAGTACATCTGCGAGCGTACGTGGTAAAACAACGGCAACTCACTAGTGGACGTGGCCGCGGCGACCTTCGCTGTGCTTCATGTGCTAGTGGCAGGGAGCGAAGGATCTGGTGCTGCAACGAGTGGAAACAGGCCACAATGTGCGAGCGTACTCGAGGTAGCGTGCTTCATCCAATGCGGTCGATTGCGCACCGCCGCAAAGCGTTTTGCAGGGTGTCGATCGATGTTCGGGCACGCAATATACCGGGGTTTCACGTGCATGTGTGTGCTGCTGTGTTATCTCCAAGTGAATGCAATGGCAACGCACTGTAATTCATGTGTGTGGTATCGACTATCGAAGTGTAAGCTGTGTTCGCAATGGATTGTATTTGCTCATCAATGTTCCTCTTAACATTTTCTTTCAGGCTCGCTAGCGAGTAGTGTCATTGCGGCTACTTTCAGATGGAAATCACGAAGCGATGAAGGAGAGCACGCATCGTTCTGAGCTGTATAGTAGCTATAGGTGGCCGAATCGCCGCAATGTGCAAATACGATGGACGTGGTGACGTATATTGCTTCAAAACGCTGCCAATTCTGCAAACACGGATTCAACAATGGTC